TTCTGGGTGGCACCTGTCCGATGGTGACTGTTCTGGTTGTCACTTATGTGATGGTGACTGTGTGCTGGTTGTCACCTGTGTGATGGTGACTGTGTTCTGGCTTTCACATGTGCAACAGTGTGTGTGCTGCAGCTGTCACCAGTGACTGTGTTCCAACTGTTCCCTGACGTTTTAGCCAAGGTGATAGTCCATTTTGTGTCACGTTTTGACTTGATTTATTTTTGTGATGATTTGGGATTGTGATTGGATGCCATCCTTATGGATACTATTTTCTTCTTTAAGGAAAGGGGGCTGTATACAGCTTTGACCCAGTAGGGTCTTACCAGAGAGACTCCTTCAAGGCTGGAGGCTCAGCAAGTGCCATGCTACAGCCCCTGCTTGACAACCAGGTAACGATGTGTGTCTAACTTGTCATAGTATTCATTTGAAGTACTTTTCTCCAAGTTCTCTTCATTAGCTTAGGAGAGCCAAGATATAAAGACTTTCTTATAAATTACTGTTTGAGTTTGGCAGATGTGCCCTACACAAACCTTACCATCTCTCTCTGTGTTCTCCCTACTCTCTGGTGGGTCCTTACCTACTCCCATGGTTTTGACTGTTTTCCTGTATTCTCATGGCTTCCAACTCTTTTAAGTCTGTAGTGGTTAATTCTCTTGCTGTCTTTACCTGAAGATCATAAAAATACCTTTCTCCGTCTTACCCACCGTTTCTGTGTTACCCAGTATTGTACTTGAACTCCCAAGCCTACAGTTGACCCTTGAACAACACACGGGAATTGGGGTGCCAATTCCCCAAGCACTGGAAAATCCACATATAACTTTCGACTCCCAGAAAACATTACTAATAAGCCTACTGTTGACTGGAAGCCTTGCCAATAATGTAAACTGTGGATTATCACGTGTTTTATATATGTATTATTTGCTGTATTCTTATGAGAAAGTAAACTACAGGAAAGAGAATGTTATTAAGACAATCATAGGAAGAGAAAATACCTTTACGATACTGTATTTGTTGATACTGTAAGTTTACATCATCTGTTTACGAGGAGAATCATCTGTCTGGAGTGCTGGACAACCACAGCTGCAGACCTCAATCTACAGTACATATCAAGCAAGTCAGCCTTTTCTTGTAATGTCATAACTTTCCCTGCTTTTTGGGGAGCACTTCCAGCACCACTAGTAGCACTTTGTTTGGGTCACTTGTTATTTAAGGCTTATAATATTGCACTAAACACAATGAAAAACAAAGGAGAACCTTGAGAGATCACTTTAACTTCTTGTAATCAATTTATGTGTATTTTGTGGTAGTAAATGATAAAATAATTCGTATCTACATGTAGTTTATAATTTGTGACATACCTTTCTCTTAATTTTTAAAATATTTTTAGGCTACTCGGCTCATCTGAGTTTTTTCAAATTGTTGCAGATCTCCAAAATCTCCAAAAATGTTTCAGTATGTTTATTGAAAAAGTTTATGAATAAGTGGACCTGAGCAGTTGAAAACCGTGTTATTTAAAGGTTACCTGTATTTCTAAGTTGTCCCTCTTTTTGATTACTGCTGGCTAAATTCAGACCTACATTATTAGATTATTGGATTTATTTTCTAACGTCCTTTCTGCCTACAAGCTTACTTCCCTAATTCATCCTGCTCAGTTTTCTGAAGTGTGTTATGTATAGCTACTCCTCTGCTTATTGCTTATTGACCTCATCTCCTGTCACCCACTACACCCAGACCCTAACTCTGCTTTTCTCAGAGAAGATGTGCTTTTCCTGACTCCGTCCCACATCTCCAGTCTGGAATGTTCTGTGCTCTTCAGTGTAGCCTTCAGCACTCACCTACTTAAAAGTCCTTTCTGCTGAAGCCTTTCTTCTTCTAGGAGACTTAGTGGACAACTGGTGGGGCTCTCCTGGCTCTTAATTTCTTCTTAGTTATAACAATTCTCTCATCACTTTGCTTGCATATGTCCACCTCTCTAGGTCATGTGCTCCTCAAGAGTGAGAGCTTTGCCAGTGAACCCTTGTCAGATTTCTGGTGTGTGTGATTCATCCAGGTCTGGAAGGGTCTTCATTCAATCTGAGGGACATTTTAATTTTGTGTAGCATTTTCATCACAAATCCTTGTACACATGAGGGTGTTGGAAGAAACTGGAACCTTTCCTTTGTGCTTACTGTCACGTGACGTCTCACCCGCGTTTCCTGTCCCACCAGGTTGGTTTTAAGAACATGCAGAACGTGGAGCATGTCCCGCTGTCCTTGGACAGAGCCATGCGGCTGGTGAAAGATGTCTTTATTTCTGCGGCTGAGAGAGACGTGTACACTGGGGACGCGCTCCGGATCTGCATAGTGACCAAAGAGGGCATCAGGGAGGAGACTATTCCCTTAAGGAAGGACTGATCTGTGTGCTGTTGTCGCCAATCAGTTCAGAACTGGTTGATTTTGTACTTTGGAACTGTACCTTGGATGGTTTTGTTTATTAAAAGAGAAACCTGAAGTACTCATTGTGCTGTAACTTGTCTTCTCTAAGCAAGACAGAGATAGGAAGTATAATTTCTTTTAATTTTCTTCATTTTTCCCACCCTTTTCTATTTTTCCGAGATTTTTTTTTTTTTTTTTTTTTTTGCATTTTAAGTAATGAAAACAGGTCATGTTAGTTTTCCCTTACACTAATGAGCTAGGAATTTATCTGTAAAAGTTAACCTTCTGGGCAAACTTACCTTATGAAGAGGGCTCTGATATTTATTCAGCCAGCTTGCCTGAAGGGCCCTTTCAACCATCCCTAAGGGAGAGTATTTTCCAGGGTTTTATTAAGACTCTAATGGTTATAAATGAAATATCTTAAGATTTTTCACTTCTGGGATTGTTAAGCAGTCTGGAATAGCTATTTTGTAGAAAAATCTTCAACCAAAATAAAATTGTAAAAAAAAAAATAGGCCTTTATACAAGCTTTAGCCAGAAATCTGGGATTATTTTTACAAGCACTTTAGTAATGTTATAATTGAGACCTAAGTTTTGATAGAGCCAAAATTTTTGTTTTAGATATATTAAATACATTTTAACTCCATTATAATATTTGGGTAATTTTCTTGTTGTTGAACAAGTCAAATTATACATAACATGGGAGTTATTGTTTGCTTTGTACCAGAGCAACCTGTGGTATAAATGGAATTTTACTAAGTTGGTGGTTAATCTTAGATACCACTTTTGTTTATTTTGCCTTTTATAAATAATTTAATTCAAATTATCAAAAGCTTCTAGTAGATACACATTGTAAACATTTATTGCACAAACATCAATGCTGTCACTCACTGTCAGAGGCGTTGGGGACACAGTGGTAAGACCTGGTTCATATTTCTCTTACAGCGTCTATATGAGGATTCTCCAAAGACTCAGAACCAATAGGATGTGTTTGTATATAGAGAGATGAGAAAGGGTTTATTAAAGAAATTGGCTCAATTATCGAGACTGAGAAATCCCACGCCTGGCTATCTGCAAGCTGGCGAACCAGAGAAACTGGCAGCATGGCTCAGTCCAAGTGTGAAGGCCTCACAACCAGGTAAGCTGATGGTATAACCCTTGAAGTCCTGAAAATAAGGAGTTGGGTGTGAGGGGTTGCTAATCAAGTCCCTGGCTCGAGGAGAAAAACTGATTTCTTTGTCTTTGCCTTTTGGTTCTATCTGGGCTCCATTCAGTTGGATGGTGCCTGCTCACACTGAGGCTGATCTGCACTCAGTCCACAAACTCCTAGGCCAGTCTCCTCCGGAAACATCCTCACAAACAAACCCAGAAGTAATACTTTACCTGCTGTCTTGATATCCCTTAATCCAGTTAAGTTGACACCTAAAATTATCCCAATGTCCCAACTAAAAACTGTAGACTATCCCATTTCGGAACTACATTTTTTCATCTTTATATATACTAGGTGTATTCTTTTTCTGAAGGATTTCCCATTTTGGAGTTTTCTGTTTATGTAAAGTTGTATATCTAGGATTTTCTATAAGGTTCTCACCTCCCAAGGTTTATAGGGAAGTTCTACAAATTGAGGAATTATTGATGGCACATAATTAGTGTTTCATGATTTCTTTTTACCACCTTCAGCTAACATTGTTTTAATCCAGTGTTGCTGTAGACTTTGAACATGGTCTCAGTTTTGGAGTCAACATGACTTAGTCCAGAATGTGCTTGGCACGTGGCTCCTAGAGCTAACCTGGCTACTGATTATGTGGGTAGCTTTTATAGATCATTCAGGCACATTCCTTGTGTGAAAAGAAAACCTTCGATAAAGATTAGAAGTATGATTCATTCTTAAGAGTTAGCCTTGAAGATTCCAGTGAGAAGCTGTTCTTATGTAGAGACTTCCTCTTCATTACTGCCTGCAAGGGGATTGGAAGTATCTGATGATATTATAAATGATTGATGGAAAACTGCTTGAGAGGTTGGCCATGACTCCATTTATACACACTGAATGCGTGTAGATGTTTGGATTTGTCTTAATTATCAGGCAGATGGCATAAATACTTTCTGGCAGTCTGCTCAGAGGGGCTGTGCTGACTGGGGAGGTTAGAAACAAACTCAGCCTGTAGTTGCCGGGTACCACTCGTGCCTCCGTATTTCCCATGCAACCATAGCTCCTGCTCTAGTCACAGTGACTTTGCAAGCCTAGCCAAGAAGAATGTAGACAACTTAGTAGGAAAATAGTATTTCTTACCAAAATGTCTCAGCCAAGCACAGTGGCTTACGCCTGTAATCCTAATACTTCAAGAGGCTGAGGTGGGGAGATCACATGAGCCCAGGAATTTGAGACCAGCCTGTGCAACATGGCAAAACCCCCTCCCTACAAAAGATTAAAAAATTAGACGGGTGGTGGCACACGCCTGTAGTGCCAGCTACTCAGGAGGCTGAGCTGGAAGTATCACTTGAGCCCAGGAGGTCGAGGCTGCAGTGAGCTGTGATTGCGCCACTGCACTCCAGCCTGGGTGACAGAGCAAGACCCTGTCTCAAAAAAAAAAAAAAAAAAAGAAGGCTCAAATACTAGCTTGATAGTGTTCCTTTTTCTGCCTTTCTGTACCTGTTAACCTGGGTGAGCGCTTCATGGCCCCAAAGTGTATTAACATGCTTTCTGATTCTAGGTCTCTCATTCCTTGTATTTGTGAATTTCAGACTGTAAATGGGAGATTCTCTGTATCAGAATTACATAGAGCACTTGTTCAAAATGAACTCCTAGGTCCAACAGACCTATTGTCTCAGCCTCTGGGCTAGAAATCCCAGGTGATTCTTAAGCGTACACAATTTGAGAACTTCTTTAACTCCTCATCAGTCAGGTTCAATCAGAGAAACAAGCCCTAGGAGACATAAAAAGAGATTTATTTCAGAGTTTGGCCTCACATAATAGGAGCTGATTAGATGATCTTTATGAGCCTGTTTCTATTTGGTCTAAGAGCCCCATAGCAAAGGCTATCGAAGGGGCAATGGTGTGAATGGAGGAGGGTCAACAGGCTGGATTGGGACCTGGGACTGTGGGGGACACCTGTGGCAGTCCCGCTGCCTTAGACCTTTCACGTCAGTGATCATGTACTGGCCTCCTTTGTCATGGCTAGACATGCACCTGGCCCAAGAGCTTGGGAGAAGTTGCCGAAGGGCCTGGCAGGAGCTTCAGGAGCTGGGAGCCCATGTGCAGCCCGTGCCACCAGCTGAGTCAGCAGGTAAAGAACATGCATGAGCGGTGACAGCCCATCATGCTCTGCTCAGCAGCACAAGAACAGATGGCTGCTGCCTCACTGCACCTTCTGCATCTTAGGCTCCCTTGTTTGAATGCGAACCCACCAGAGTTGTTCAGTACCCATCAGTGGTCTTCATTACTGCATGAAGTCCAAGTCTTTCTTCTTTGCTTTGTGAAATTAATTCAAACTTAAAGCTGTTGGAACGTTAAATTATTCTGAGCCTTGAAAGAAATGTGGCTGTGCAGCCTGAGTCATGTGGGGCATGCAGGTTCGACTTCTGCCTTTTTTCCCCCTTGTAAATAATTAAGACAAAAGGGCACCAGATATAAGACCCCTCAAATCACTCCTCCTCCTCACAGAGTAGTAAAGCAATCTTGAAATGAGCGGCAATCTGTAACCAATCAAATTGCTGTGGCGAATGCTCTGGTCTTGTATGGAAAATGTGATCCTGCTAAAATTTCTAAGTGAAACCTTCTCCACTTTGAAACATTAACCTTACTGGTTCAGAGTCAGTGTTTCCAGGGGGCCATTCTCAAGCTTTGCGCTCAAATTAACTCTCTACTTAATCATATTTTCTAAATCTTATTATTTAAGGTTGACAGTTTTCAAATCCCTCTGTGCCATCCTCGCCTCCCCACCCAACTCCCTACCTCTTCGACATACTTCTTCAACTGGCTGGGCTGCTTTATTAAGTGGGTGTGATATTCTCATTCTTAATACAACTAACATTGTCTGACTTCGTGTACTGTCCCCTTGAGCTTTATAAATCATACTCTTAAAGTCCAGATCAAGTTTTATTTTCTCTATTGAGATTTTCCCAACTTTTCTAGATTTCATGAATTTCTTCTGAGCTTCTATTAACTTGACACTTATAGTTTATGTTAAATATGAATGCAATTGTTTGCTGTTATTTCTTAAATACTGTCCCTCCCATTTACTTTTCTTATATACACATTACACAAAGTTTGGACACATAGGAGGCGCCTAAACCTATAAAGAGACATGGAACTTGCTAAAGGATCCAGGAGTGATCCGCTTGTTGGTGTCGATTGAAAATCCATCTTGCTACCTACTTCTGGTTGTGAGAGAAACGTGAAATCTGTGAGCAGGACAAACTTCTTTCCCTCCCTCCTCTGGAGTTCCTAGCGGCAGGCCTGAGTCTCAACTTGGGAAGGAGCTTCAAATCCTTTATTTCAAGTTGTCACTTCTTTGGAGGGGTAGTAGCTCTGTCCATGGGCAATGTGGAATGTTGGAGGAGCCTGAAGGCAAGTGAAGTTAGGAATACAAGTGTCTCACCGTCGAGTTCCACTCAGCAGGACGAAGAGTGTGGGTGCATTACATCACCCACAGGATCGCTGCTGATTTATCTGTTAACATACCGTGCCTGTTTTCTCCCTAGACAGGGAGGGTCCATAGTGTATGTGGATGCATTTCAAAACAGCCACTTTGTATGGCCACTGTCCAGTGAAAACAGAGGCCCGTGACCCCACTCTTGCCATGAGCACCCTCCCAGCCAGGCTCTACTGTTGAATGAGTTTAGCTTCTAAGTTGCTCTCCCTTGTCTGAAAGGCTCCTGGAACTTGTGGATCATCTTTGAAAAATATTTCTATAATGGGAAAATATTTTAAAAACAGCATGGGGCGTGAGCTGATGTCCACAGGGCTGATTGTTAGAAGGTATAGGTGATCGAAAGTGTGATCCTCCCACTTTGTCCTCAAGCTGACCAATGGCCTGACCTCTTCTGCAGTGAGAACCTGCTGGAGAGTTGGCTGAGATTCAGGAAATCAAGGGACCTTCATTCTTCAACAAAACCAGGCTCCACATCACCCTCCAAGAGGCCGCCAGGTGGCAGTGTTGACTCATCCTGCCTCTGAGAACCATAGTTTTCTAATGCTCAGAAAACTGCTACCACAGTTTTCCAGTGCACAGACTTTATTGAGTGACTAGAAAGGGGCCTTGAGTCTGATCATAAATCCTGTTTCATAACCTGGAAGGAGGTACACCTTTTGTACCAGCTGTTCCTCAGATCAAAGTGGAAAGGACAGAAGGAGACAAACTGAGCAAAATTGGTAGTAACCTATGCTGGAGGTGTCCTAGGTGTGTGTAGGGGTTGGGAGGTGGGTGGGTGGGGGAGAGGGAAAGGGAGGCAGGAGAGAGAGAGAGAGGGGGGGGGAGGAGGAGGAAGAGGAAGAATTAGAAGAAGGAGAAGAAGAAGGAGAAAGAAGAAGAAGAAAGAGGAGGAGGAGAGAAGGGAGCAGGGGACTGGTTGTGGTAAGAATTAGAAGAAGGAGAAGAAGAAGGAGAAAGAAGAAGAAGAAAGAGGAGGAGGAGAGAAGGGAGCAGGGGTCTGGTTGTGGTTTGGAGAGACAAAAATCAGAACACAGAATTTTTTCGGAGCTATAAACATTTATAAACAAGGAAAATAATGGGCAGAGCATACGTTAAAGTGCTCTGTCCGGGCTGCTGACTAGCGGCAGAACAGATTAAGACTCAGGGTTTTGTTTTTCTGTTTGTCTCTCTCTCTCTCTGGGTTTTCTTTGTTTTGTGCTATCGAGTTCTTATTTCTTTTACTTCAATAATTTTTTTTTTCAAATGAATCTAGATGTTATGATGATCTGAGGACACAAGTTGATAAATGCAATTGAGATTCTTGGTTGAAGATTTTGTGTAGGTGATATTAGTAGAAAGTATCCACAAAGTCATGGAGCAAGATCTCAGATTTACAAAGTTCTAGGTCCGCCTCGACCTTCGAAAGTGTTGGAATTACAGGAATGGGCCCCTGCGTCTAGCCTTATATTGACATTTTTCACTTACATTTTAGAATTGATTGTTGAGAACCCCTTGAGTGACCTAGAAGGTCAAGAGACTGCTAATCTGTCTGTGATCTGTTTGATATTTTTTTCTCCTCACTGAAAATGCTAAGAACATTCATTGACAAAAACTGGAGACACTGGTAAGCTCTTACCTCTCTCATCCCATGGGACTGCACCAGCCTGTCTTACTGCTTCCTGGGAAGTTCTATGCACAAATTCTCTGGGACCTTCTCAGGTTAGGCAAGACCTCCAGAAGACCTGCCAGCCATCTTGCTCCTGAAGTTCAAGGCTCTGAAAGCCTTAAATGTCATGAAGCATGAAGCATTTCCAGGAAATGTGTGGTTTCCTCCTGAAACTTCTCAAGGATAACTTTTTCTGAAAACTGCTTACAGCGACTTGATGGAGACCAGCATTTCCGAGGGCCCAGAGGAAGGATCAGAGAACAAGCACAGGGATAGGGAGATTCGGTCATGACAGTCAGAGGCCCATATGGTCTGCAATACTCCTTTCTGGAGGCTCTAACGAATATGAATAATCGAAGATGCCATCTGCATAATGAGAGCTTTGGACACTAAAATATAACTTTTCCGAGAAGTTGAAATTTGCTTATTTATGTTGTTTGTTTAGAGGTACGGTTAGGATATTTTATTCAGACACTCAGTGTGCTCAATTTTTTCATTTTTTCACCAGTATTTCTGGAGCTCATATTATGTTCTAGACACTTTCTGAGTCCTGGCGATATAGCAGTTAATAGAGAAATGAAATCCCTGCTCTCTTGGGATGCAGAGCAGACAAATACACCAGAAAACCTCAGAGGGCTATGAGGAGAATTCTGAGTGTGAGGTGCAGGTAGTGGGCGGGCTTCAACTCTAGACCATGGAAGAACTGCACTGAGACTTGAATAACAAGAAAAAACAGTAATGAGAGCAAGGGTCTTGGCATCATCTCTGTGGCAGGCACTGGGGATGCAGCAGCAAACAAAACAGGGAATAAGCCCTCCTCTCAAGGTGCTCACGTTATATTCTAAGGGGGGAAGAAATACAATCAGTCAAAGTGAAACTGTGTGTAATCACACATTTGAGACTCTGAGACACTCAGGGTGCTGGGGGAATCGAAGCAGGCAGGGTGGGAAGCAGGGGCTAAACTTTGAACAGGGACCACTGGAAGGTGATGGGCTTGGAGGGATGAGGGAAGATTGACAATGCAGACAAAAGCCAAAATAGACAAATGGGATCTAGTTAAACGAAAGAGTTTCTGCACAGAAAAAGAAACTGCCATCAGAGTGAACGGGCAACTTACAGAATGGGAGAAAATTTTTGCAATCTACCCATCTGACAAAGGGCTAATATCCAGAATCTACAAAGAACTTAAACAAACTTGCAAGAAAAAAATCAAACAACACCATCAAAAAGTGGGCAAAAGATATGAACAGACACGTCTCAAAAGAAGACATTTATGCAGCCAACAGACACATGAAAAAATGCTCATTATCACTGGCCATCAGAGAAATGCAAATCAAAACCACAATGAGATACCATCTCACACCAGTTAGAATGGCGGTCATTAAAAAGTCAGGAAACAACAGGTGCTGGAGAGGATGTGGAGAAATAGGAACACTTTTACACCGTTGGTGGGATTGTAAACTAGTTCAACCATTGTGGAAGACAGTGTGGTGATTCCTCAAGGACCTAGAACTAGAAATACCATTTGACTAGTGATCCCATTACTGGGTATATACCCAAAGGATTATAAATCATGCAGCTTTGTGGCACTATTCACAATAGCAAAGACTTGGAACCAACCCAAATGTCCATCAATGATAGACTGGATTAAGAAAATGTGGCACATATACATCATGGAATACTATGCAGCCATAAAGAAGGATGAGTTCATGTCCTTTGTAGGGACATGGATGCAGCTGGAAGCCATCATTCTGAGCAAACTATTGCAAGGACAGAAAACCAAACACCACATGTTCACACTCATAGATGGGAATTGAACAATGAGAACACCTGGACACAGGAAGGGGAACATCACACACCAGGGCCTGTCGTGGGGTCGGGGGAGGGGGAAGGGAGAGCATTAGGAGATATACCTGATGTAAATGACAAGTTAATGGGTGCAGCACACCAACATGGCACATGTATACATATGTAACAAACCTGCACA